ACATGATTAAGCTCCAAATTAACCTTGAAAAGGTAGGTTGCTTGAAAATTCTCTTCCTCCCCTTTCTCCCCCTAAATAGTGTGAAAATTACACTATTTCCTATTAAAAATATTTTTCATACTTAATAAAATTAATTTAAATTTTCTAGGCACTCTCATACATCCTATATGATTATTATATGCTCTAAAAAAATTTCTCATACTCTTAAGGTGCCTAAGTAAATTCTTTACCTCTAAAAACATTATTCCTATACATAATAATTCAAATAAAATATTCATAACACATAATAAAATTCACACAAGCACATAAAATAATTGAACACCCCTCTAACAATTATTCTAAGCATAAAAACTATTTTTCATTCATAAAAAACATTTTTAATTAATTATTTCATGCAAAAACTAATATTCGTGCATCGTAAAATCAATAAAATATCCTTTAAGCATAAAAAAACTATTTTAACTATTATATATATTCGTTGAAGTTCCTAAGGATTATTTCACAACCTTAAAATATGTTTTCCATTATATTTAATATTAAATTTTTATTTAATTTTAGTTTCAAGTGAATACCTAGGTTATTACGGTAGGAGTACACAAATAGAGCATAATTGATTTACTCTAAGAGCTAAGACATTTGAGAATACGAAGAAAACCTATGTGATTATAATCGAACAAGACTAATAACTAAGTTCGAGATCACACTATGACAAGTTGACATGAGGGTTGAATTATATGGTAACCATGCTCGTGAAATGTATTTATGAATTAATTAATCCTCTTAGAGAATTGAATAGTCATGATGTCTTGTTGGAGGACGAGTCTTGACTTATGAATCAAGACATAAAAGAGACATCTTTTATTCTTGATACATTACCAACATATCTAGGAACCTATTAAGTCACACGTATAAGTTTAAGCATTCACATGATTAAAGAGAAGTAAAGATGTTGGAAAAAGTTTTCGATTATGAAAATTTTCTCGTTCTATAAAAGGTTTTTGAAAGTGAAAAGTTTCCTAAAATGAAAAGTTTTATAGTTTAAAAATCATTTTTCTAATTTAGAAGTTAGTTCCAAATTTAGAATAAATAACCTAAAATAAAAATTAGTTTCATAATTTAGGTTTATAAGTAATTTAAAATATTATTTCCTAATGTGGACCTCCTAAAATTATCTTGCTTAATTTATTTGGATAGTCCAAATTAATTAATTGGGTCAAAATAGTTTTGGACCAATAGGTTTAATTAAAAGTCTAAAAAATATTTTGGTGAGACGATAAACATAAACATTATTAAATAAGAATGAATATTTTTTCGATAAAGATCAAAAAGTCCACATGCAAAATAACTTCATAATCCTATAACATAGAGTCCCTTAGGGATTCATTGTCATCCATCCTTGTTCTTGGAGGAGTAGGAAGCCTCTCCCCAATATATATGGGAGAGAGGTGTGGCAAACACAAGCTTTTTGAAAGAAAGAAAATTCGACACAACAAAAAAAAAAAAGGAAATTAGGACATATGGTTGAAAAATAAAAGAAAGAGAAAATTATTTTCTCCCTTATCCTAGCATGCCACCTTTTTGGTCTCTCTTTTTGGGTTATTACATATAGTATCCTGATTAGATTTCTATAGGAAACACTAGATAAATAAAAAAAGATGGAGCTAGCACTTTACCAATTTTGAGTGTTTGTTTTGTATGTGTTTGGACTACGTGGATATCGATAGAGGTCGAACACTTAGACGACTCATTTTTGTAAAGGTTTAAATTTATATTATAAGAGGTAATTTTTCTATTCATCTTTTCAATTCGTGAATATATGGTTGATTCATTCAACGATATGATCTTGAATCTTTAAAATGAAAGAAATTTTATGTTTTATTTCGCACCTCCATAGGATACATGATCCTTTAACTTTCACTAGTAATTTTATAAAATAAGGAGAGAAGGCTTGTTGTGTTGAGAACTTGAAGGCTGAATAATATAGATTACTCAATGTCCAATAAGCTGATTAGAATATGGGCTACTCATTAAGCTAGCCAACAAGGATATAGGCCTGAGAGAAGTCAAAACAAGCATTTGAATTGAAAATTATTGATCCATAACCAAAATTAAAGTTAGTGAGTTTTGGGTCAAATGATCCAAGTGCCAAAGAGGTTGGTCGTGGTCTTCCAAATGCCAAATAACCTTTTGGCCATAGGTTTCTAAATGCCAAACAACCTTCTCGGCTATGGGCTTTCAATTGTTGAACAACCTTTTAGCCGTAAGCTTTCAAGTGCTCGAACAATATCATGGTTATGGACTTCCAAATGCCAAACAACAATATGGTCGTGAGCTTGATCTTAAGGAGGCTGAACCATTAGCCATTCCAGTAGGCTCAATCACAAAGGATAGGACCAAGAAGATCCATGAGTCATTAAATGGGACAATTCAATATAACTAGGCCTAATTCTCCACTAATGAACTTGAAGAACATCACATGGGTTTTATGCATCTTATCTAAGCTATTAGGCTAGACTTTCGGACTTGAAGTCGAATCCCTATGATCCATCTTTTCTTGATATTTTGGGTCAAGATTAGTAATGCTAAAGCTACCGAATCAATCCACTTCAAAGTTAGATCTTTTCACCTTTTCTTCAAGTTAACATTCATCAAGTTTCGGTTCATACTAATGGTCATCAAATTCAAGAAGTCTCTACCAACTTCAAAGAGACTTATTCAAAGCTTTATAGTGATCTAATATTTTAGTTATAAATCCTATGTAGATTTTAATTCATCTTTATCTTTTTAAATTTTTTGCATCTTATTTAGCTAAAAAGAAGTTATAATTTTTGATTAATCAACCTTTGAACCAAATCAATCTTTTGTGAGAAATTCACATGTAATTTTTTCTAAAACTCGAATTCAAAACATATCAAGAATATAATTGATTCTTATAGTGTTCAAGTGACTTATCATTTCCTTTCTAATTATTGGAGTGTGATGTCCATATCATTCCGAATCCGATTTGGTTTTCTCATGATTCTTCCTTTTTGTTCATGGGTTCTCTAGCCATTCGAGCTAGGTAGGTTTGCATCATATTAGTTTATATTCATTGTACTTAGAAATAAGTCAACGTCGATAATACTCTCGGCCTATTTAGGTCCTATGTCGTGGGTATTATAATTGAAGCTCGTAATGGTATTTTCTTTAATCAACAATGATATGCTACTTAATTATTGAAAAAGGAAAATATGCATGGTTCTTAGGGACTTGGCACACCGGCTTGTCCTCGTATAAAATTACGAGTCACGAGAGGAACATCCTTCTTCGATCCATTCCTTTATCGTAGTATGGTTAGAGGCCTACAATCTTTAGGAATCATCGAGTCTAACTTGGCTTATTCCGTTAACAAAGTTGCTCAATATATACACTTCCCTACTAATGATAACTGGTCCGCAATTAAACGGATTCCGAGGTATCTTACCGTTATCAAATTCCAAGGGCTTTATATTCACAAATTTGATATCTCTTTCCTTGCTACCTTCATTGATTCCGATTAAGGAAGGGATGTGGATGATAGAAAGAGTGCATCCGGCTATGTTATATATCTTGATGAAAACCTAATCTCCCGAAAGTCTAGCAAGCAACGGATCGTTGCTCGATCCTCAACAAAGGTTAAATACGAGCCTTAGCCTCCGCCTATGCAGAACTTGACTAGTTGCAATCTTTATTACACAAAATTCGCCTACCTAGTTCAACATCACCAATCGTAAGATGTGACAACATGTCAACTATTTATCTGACCATTATACCTATTTTCCATTCACGATCAAAACACCTTGATGTAGATTTTCATTTCATAAGAGATAAGGTTCGCTAAGGTCCGTTGAAGGTAAGTTATATTTCCATTAATGATCAAATAGCGGACATTCTCACCAACTCGTTGTCCAAGTTCAAATTTTTTAAACTACATGACAAGTTGTGCTTTTTAGAGAATCCTGTACAACTTGGAGGAGGATGATAAAGATAGAACACTTCCCTCCTAGTTCTTCTATTTACTCTCTTAAATATTCTCATCTCTCTGCTGGATAAGATTATTAGTCGTTGTCATTTACTATAACAATTAATACTTAGAAATAGAGTGGTGAGAATGAGAATGAAAGTTTTATACCCATGTTATAGTTGTTTAGTTAAAAGGAATGAAGTGAGAATGAAAATTTATATAAAACTTCATTCTCATATAAAATGTGGGAATAAAAATAAGAAATATGAATGAAATTTTTTTTCAAATTAATAATATATTTTATATATTTATTATCTATTAACTACTTTTACCACTACCACCATAAGTACTACCATCACCATCATCGTAACCACCATAAGCACTACCACCATCACTTTTATTATTTTTACAATTATTATAATTTGATAAAATTATTTTTTTAATCAATATTTTTATTTATATAAAAAACTAGGTATTAAAAAATTTAAAATGCATTTCGATTTTCTATTAACATCAAACGTATGAGAATATAAATACTATTTTAATTCCTTAATTTTTATTTCAGACTTTTTCATTTATTAGTAACTATAGGACACCTTATTTAAATCATATGTTCTCTGTGTATGTATCAATATAAAATATAGAAACTCAGTGAGTGTACACAGAGAAGGGATTGGTAATTGACTCTTTGACCATCTCTTGAACGCTAGGTACGGTTATAGATTTTCCAAACTTAATTGGTTCTGATGATGGGCAAAAGCCTGTGGGATTTTGCGTTTCAAAAACCCAGGAGAAAGTATTGAATCAAGTGACACTGTAGGCGATGCATGTGCAAAATTTTGCCAGCAGATATTCACTTTACATTTTCCCTTCCTGTAATTTCATCCAGTTGCTTTGGAAAATAAGAATTGTAAAATAAAAAAAAAGCCGATAAAAATAGCTTGGATTTAGATGTTGAGAATGGTTGAGAGAATCTAAGATGTGATCTGAAAAAACTTAATAGATTCGAATTGTCTAGGTTTTTATGAAGAGAGAGGAGGAGGAGGAAGAAAAGGGACTATTTTGGTGGTGGAGAGGGAAGGAGGAAGAAGAAGAAGAACGCGGTGGCAGCCATGGTGATTTTCGAGGGTGGAGTGAGGAGGGGAAAGGAGGGGGAAAAATGAAATTAGCGAAATAGATTTTGACACGTACGAATATCTTAGATAAATTATAGATTGATTAATTCGTAACCATGAAATATGGTTAAATATAAAAATAAATATTAAAACAAATAAAAATAGAAGCGGAAAAGAGTAAAGAAAGAAACGCATCTAAGCGTATAACCGAATGTATTGAAAAGGCAACTCGGGCGGTGAATTGCAGTAATGATTTGGGTGTGTGGGGTCCAACCAAACCGATAGAGCAATTGGAATGGAAGAGTTGTCACCTCAAGGTAGTTGCCAACCCGCACAGAACCTTTGGTTGGTCAAACTGAAACAACACAGGGGCTAAGGCTCTACTTTATTTTTCTCTTTAATTACTTGCTTGTACCAAATATTCAATATTATTTGACTGGCAGATAAAGTAAAAACAATTGCACAGCAGCTCGTGGGATTGCAAACTAATAAATTTCCTTAAGCTGTATGATAAATTTTAAGAAGATTGATTTTTTAAAAAACTAACTCAATTCTACCAACATCAACTCTCACTAAACAATTTTTTTTATCAATACTAAAATTAAATAAAAATTAAGATAAAAATAAATTTAACTTTAAGTGACGTTAAATTTATTTCACAATCAAAAGACTATTTAAATCACTTACTTTTTAATTTTTACAATTCTTGTTCAAAATTTTGATAAATTGTATAAATATTATATATTAGTGAAAAAATATATGAGAAATAACAACAATACTTATTCATACTTTTGTTATTTTTTTTTATAACTATTATTATATTGTTTTCAACTTAACTCTTGTACTGTCAAAGGTGGCACATAGTGTTGGTGAAATTTTTTTTTTTTTTTTTTATCATATTTGTTTTGCTGAATAATAACTTGATTTAATGAAGTTTTTAATTTGAATTTTTTTATTCTTATTTTTTGAATTATATTGAGATATTCTATTTCTTGATAAAATTAAAATTTACACACTTTATCTCTTATTGTTTTTAGCATAAATGGATGAGAACGAAGAGTTAAACAAATAAAATAAATAAAAGATTTGATCGAAACACATAAAATTGAGACAACACACAAACATTTAAGATGTAAATTAATACAATACAATTCATAAACTACATGGTCTTTGTCATTATTTGTCAAGGTAAGGAGTTTTATCTGCATTAGGTGTCATAATTGAATTTCTTTAAGCATTTAGATCGATTTATTAGTTCTTTCTCAAAATTTTCCTCAAAGTTTGTAGCTTTATCAGTCATATCATCCCTAGAAAATTTTCTTCAAAGTTTGGAGTCTTATCAGTCATATTATTCCTTGAAGAAGTTATAAGTCGAAACAAAGTTGAAATTTAATTGGGAATAAATCGAGAAAATTCTCAAGGGAAGATTTGATAATATACCTATTTCAATTTAAGGATTTGGCCATATACAAATTGAACCAAACTTCATGATATGATAAAATATATCACGTTATGCTAATCATTTTATACCTACATGTTGTGCCCGATAATAATTATATTTGTTTAAAAAATTTGTAAAAATCATTTGTTTTATGGTAAAATGTTTTCTTCTCAATCCGAAATAGTCAACTTCAAAAACACTTTAATGATATATTGACTTTTTCTACTCAACAACAACAAGAACAGGCTCTACCATTTCAAAAGATCGTGAAACCAACAAGACTAAAAAGATTAAGAAAAGAAAATCAAAGTGCAATTCAATAGTTAGTTTGTTACAAAATCAAGAAAATAAAGGGGGGCGTGCACCCATCCAATCTAAAGAGAGGGTGGAACGATGGGGCCAGTGGAAGAAAGAGTCGTCCTTTTTGACTGGAATGGGAAGGGACTGAAAGGTGATGGCATGTTATGTCTCGTCAGCAATCTCGATGGAATATTTATAACTCTTGCACGTTATTTAAATGGATTATTACTGAATAGTTGAATTATCAAAACATATTTTTGCGTTTTATTTTCACTTTTTAAAACTATTTCCTCATCAAAAGATTTCTTTCTTTTTGCAGACCAAGTACAGCGGACATAACCTTTTTTGAGAGTTCTACCAGACTAGTCTAGTTTCCTAATCTGCCAGAATTTATAGTACATAAACTGGACCTACCAACTATGGTTCAGATTTGCCATTGGACCTTTCGCCTGTATAACAAAAAGAAATGCCCCCTCCAAATCTCTTTTAACTCGCTAGTAGGTACGGGTTGGCTTCTCGCGCTTCTATGTGAATTAATAGGGTGCTCTGTACTGTCCTGTTACTTAAATATATTAAATAAAAAATTATTTAATTTTATTTTTAATCAAATTTTTTATTTCTCTATTTTCATAGTTTTTATTGTTAAAAAAATACAATTCGTTGCTCAGTTATATATTCATTTAAAATAAAAAATTATAACAATATAAATATAAAATTTTGAAAACTATATTAATATTTTTTTCATAAAAGTGCATCGAAAAAATAAAAAAATAATTAATATAAAAATTAGCTAACGAATATTTTTAAACTTTTTGAAAATATATAAATTTAATTTATATATATTTATTTTTAAAATAACAACAATAATAATATAAAAGAATGTATTTGAATTATTTGATGATTCTTCTAAAAAATTATTTTAATTTAAAAAAATTATTTTAAATATTAAAAATAATTAATAGCAAATGGTTGGTATTATGTGTATAGATGCATAATTAATTTTTAATAAAATCAAGAATTTCAGCATTTATTTTATACATCATGACCATACTCATTGGATTTTGTGTGCAATATAAATTAAAAATATTTAAGTTGTAAGGAGTATATTGAGGTTAATAAAATATAGTAAAACCAACTAATTTTTTTATTTATTATATCAAGAATAAACCAAAAACATGTAAATTCTACTACTCAATTAATTATTTATTCAAAAAATATTCAAAAATCCATATATATATATAAATAAATTATATTTATTAATAAATAAAATTACATAAAAAAATAAAAAGTAATTTTATCATAATTTTTATAAAAAATGATAAATTCAAGAGATGCATTTTAAATGATAATAATATATTCTACAATCTAAAACACACGAAGGACCAAAATATATTGGAAACACCATGTTTGTCTTCTAATCCTTGAATATATTGGGCTGTTTCAGCCGTAAAAAATTAATTTGCTGGAAGTCCTTTTTAATGTAACATTCTTTCAAACTAGCAAAAATTACATATCCGCTTTTTAAAAGAATAGAGATCTTCTATGTAAAAAAAAAAAAAAAAATAGTAGGTTTCAAAATATTTTTCCACCATTGTTCAGTTTTTTTCTTTATTTTTGGTGGTAGAGAATATTTAACAATAAACTCAAAATTTTCTTAATGGTTTGTCTAGTAACTCAATACGTAGATCATTGACTTCAAATTTTTGTTTTAAACTTTCATGACTTTATCAAATTCAAATTTAGAATTTTCATTAATTGGTTTGAAGGTATTTTCCATGGATGTACAAAATCTTAAAACAACGTATCATAGTTTTCACCATCTGAGTTTTTCTTAAAATCTATTTTCTTAAAGATTTGTGTTTCTGATTATGTTTTGGTGGTGAATTTTATAGAAAATTTGACTTGATGGTTTTATGGTTTTTTGGTTTCTTTTTCAAATCTCATTATTTATTGTAATTTTTTTTTTCAAGACTGAGAAATCACTCAACACACCGTTTCGTTATAAATCTAATTTTTTTAGTTATTAACTAAAGTTTTTGTTCCTACCATCGATCCAAATTAACATCTTAAGATTTCTCTCTATCGTTCTTTAAAGAAGTCGAGGTTTTATGATTTGAGATTCTTTTATCTGTGGTTTTTCGTTTATTAGCGTTATACATGCTCTGTGAAGAGTTACAAGCTGCTTATAGGTTTGTTGTGTTCATAGGATGATTTGCAACAACATGCCTATTTTTTTACACAGCCAATATATATATATATATATATATATATATATATATATATTTGGAATTTATACTCGATTTTATTTTGTGCTTTATAGACTACAGCTTGCTTCGCTCTCATTCTCTTATTTTTCTAATTTTCTAAGGGATACCTATAAAGTATAGCCCTCATTTTTAATATCTAGCAAAACTTATTTGTTTACGGCATGATCCATTTGTAAAATCAGAAAGTTCACGAGAAAGATAATTAACTATTATATTTTTATGTGAAGAGATATATCTAATATCAAATTTGTAACAACTAAATCATTCTTGCAAGTTAAAGAACCCTAATTTGTCTAGCTTTTTTTATTCAGATACCTAAATCTTTTAACACATAAAGAATTTGTTCTTACTACAAACATTTTGGAAACAAAAAAGACATAACAAGATTTAATTATATTTTTAACAATTAACACTTCTTTTTTTCATAAATTAGTTAATTCGTTTGAGATCTTTTAAAAGTTTCGGGTTCGAACTTCTCCTTCTATTTTAATACTACCCTTTAAAATTTATCTGAATCATATGTATCAAAAAATAACTCATTTGCATTAGATGGTAAATTAAAATATAACAAAAAAATTATTTACCTTAATTACAGTTTGAGTTTCTTTATCATTTCAAACAAGTTTTTGTTTTACTAAAACTTTACTTGACAACCATTTGTAATAACTTGCTCTAAAAATAAGATTAAGTTAGTAAATTATTTATTTTTAAGATTCAAAAAATAGTTATGAGTCAATTTGAGGTTAATTTTATTTTTAGTACAAATTAAAAAAAATTGAAATTTGTTATAAAATAAAAATTAGTACCTAACTTTATACAAGAATAAGAATTTATCGACGGGAGCTCGCGGTGTCGAATGAGTCGCCATCTAGCTATATGAGAGAACTAGAAAACCTTAAAACAAAATAGTCTATATAGATATCTGGATAAAGAGTCACTTATGTGTGGAGAAATTTATATCAGCATCATCATATGCTACCTAAGATAGGCAACATTGTATGCATGTGCAAATTAAGGTTTGACTTTGTTATGTTATGATTCTATGCCTACTTGAGTGTGTCGCAACCTAATTTTAGAGCTCTAAAATTAATTAGGTTTAATTTCTTTATTTAATTTTGTTTTTTTTTTTTATATAGTAGTCAATGATCCATGAATTTTAATTTGTTTGTTTTTTTAATTAGGTCTTAATGATTTTCGATTTTTTGAATATCAAACAAAAAGCAAAAAAAAAAAAAAAAAAGAAAGGAAATACAATTATTCTTTTAATCATATTTATTTTTAACTTCATTTGAAATTTAGGTTCTTTTGTCATAAACAGAAAATACAGAGAGAGAGAGAGAGAGAGAGAGAGAAGTATAGTTAATTTCGCATTCAGGGATTCAATCACAATTGATTTAAAAAATATTATGGGTCAATTCATGAATATTAGAAGTCTTGGGGAACAATCAGAAAACAATTGAGATGTAATTGAAACGAATTGAAACTAGAGGGACCAAAATAATTGACTAAAGGGATTTAATTGAAGAAGAATTGAAATGCGAAGGGATGAATTTGAAAGGATCTCACGGACGACAAGCTGAACTTGAACGTTTGGCAATGAGCGACCTGTCGTCCGTTTCCTTAAATTCTCGGAAACCCACCAGCCATGCACTCTACTTCTTCCTCAAGAGAGACCCTGGATCAGTCCAATGAAATGGCTTGCTGGCATTTTATCATGAAAACTCTCTCTCCAAATAGCTGGCCTTTGTACTAGACTCTCCCCCAGCACCCAAACAAAACTCCAGTCCACGTCTTGTCCTTTCTCCCCCAATTCCTACCCCTCTCTATGCTGCACCAAAACAAAAAAAAAAGGAAAGAGACGTTAAGAAAAAGAAAACAAAGAGAAGGGAGAGCTTGTTGAGAAAGAAAAATGAAAGGATAGGATCATTTCAAGAAGAATGGAGGGTGAGGATGAAATGAAAAAGGCTATATAAAGAGAGGCAAGAGAGGTTTTTTTTTCTTTGAGGGAGCCGGGCGTTTTGGGGGAAAGAGAAAAAAGAAAAACACAGAAGAGGAGGTTTTTGAGGTCTCTGGGATTTAGGGTTCTTGAGGAGGGTTTCCTGGCTGGCACGACTGGTTTTGGAAAGAAAAACAGAGAGGGCAAGTGCAAAATAGAGAAGAGCCAGGGAAAGGGTTTCAAAAGCCCTGTTTCTGAAACTGGAAAATAGGGGTCACTGGGGACAGTTTCTGTTGATGCTTAGGGGGGCATTACTATATCCAAGATCAGTGTTTTGTTCATCTGGAACCATCAACAGAAGACTTCAATAAGTTTTATCCCGTTCAAGCACAGTCCCTGGACGTACCGAGAGCATCAGATGAAGACGAAGGAGGTTTTATAGTCGGCCTTGTTCAGTCTTTACCATCGTTTTCTTTCTATGGTTCAGGTACGCCTAAGACCCATTCTTTTATTTATGTCTACTGTCCTGATGGCCATCGCATGAATCCTTGCTTGGCCTTGGTTCCCGAGAGAAGAGCTTTCACAGTTAATATCTTCAGATCTAATTTTCATTTTGTTGTTGTTAGATAAATGTATGACACTCCAAGGAGTGGGTTTTGGTTTGTAGAAGCATGAATACCTACAGGGATTTGAGAGTCGAAACTGGTTATGCTATCTAGTTCAAAAAACGAAATAATAACAGAAGGAGAAGAGAAGCTAGGGAAGAAGAAGAAAAGAAAAAATGGAACTTGGTCTAGGGAGAGGAAATAGGAGAACGAGTGATAGAGCTGGACTTCATTTAGTTCGGCCCAAAGGAAAAAAGGACAAAAAAACATAGGTTGGGTCCAGCGCAGCCCGAAGAAAGAAGAAAGGAGAGATAGGGCTGCACAGTGGGCTCAGCCCTAGCCCGACTAGGTTTGGCCCATAAGGCCTGTCCAATAGGCCAGTTCAATGGGCCAAAGGCCCACTAAGCCTAAAAAGTCCAATAACCCTAATTTTAGCTATTTTTTTTCGAGAAAATTAGCTCTGAAACTTTTAATGTATGCCTTTCATTTTTTGCCTAGTTAGATTTAATATTTTCAATTTTTAGTTTTTCACATTTATTTTATTTACTGACTTAAATCCTTGATTTTTTTAAGGTTTTATTTTGATAATTAGATTAGATAATTAATAGACGAATGAATCATTGAGTTTTCTAATGACAATTCCCACCAACAATATATATATATAGTTGGTTAAAATAAATAGATAAAATTAAAAAAAGAAAAATAATAAAAAATGATAAAATGATAAAAAAAATAAGAAGAACTAAAAAGGGGGGAGAGAGGGAATGCTAAGTAAAAAAAAGAAAAAAGAAAAAAAAAGAAATATATAGAAAATACTAGATAAAAAAATTAACAAAGTTTCATATCTAATATGGATTGATGTTAATCAATCATATCTTAGTAATTACGTCATTCTTCGACATACCGATTATGTCGAGAGTTAAACTGTATCCGATGTTGAATTGACGGGACGCTTGATGGAGGAGTTTGGCAATCGATTCATTATGATGCCACAAAAAAAAAAAAAAAAAAAAAATTGAGTTAGAAAGTAAAACTTGAAAATTGACTTAGAAATATTTTTGCAAAAATAGAACTTTTAGGAAATAAATTTTAGGACAATACTAGACATGACACCTTTTCTCAAAAAGGGTGTCTTTGAGTGATCGATATCTTTCGAATATATAACCAACTCTTTATCCAAGAATCTTTGAATTAGTGTCCATTTTAGGTTTTTAGTTTTTTTGATACTAGGTGGCGACTTCGAAATTAATAAATAACTCATATTCCCAAATAAACAAGATTTTCAACAAATAAATCAGAAATAAATTTTAATTTTTCGAGAGTCTTGTGTGTAACGGGTAGCGACGTAATAACGATTCTATTAGCGAAATTAGAGTTAGGTCATAGGTTTGGTCTTTGTCTTAGTTATCTCATTTGATTATTTTGCTATTTATTTTGTCAATTATTTCTTATATATACTTCGAACCTTTTAATTATTATAATTTATTTTCTTTTAATTTCTGTACATAATTTATGCACTAGGTTGGATGTTTGTTTTGAACTGTTGCACATACAAAGAAAAAAGCATGTAAAAGCTCTAGACTCGAGCAAAAGCCCTACTAGGATTTAGATAGAAAGATTCAGAGACAAATATGATGAAAGTCTACTGATATTCGTCTGGATTCTCGTTTGTATTAAAACTTACCCTATGCATAGAAAATTATAAAATGTCTGTCTCTATTTCTCATCTCTTCAGTTTATGATTAACTTTTATGTGTGCTAGCTGCAGGTTGTACTCTGAAACAAAGAGTCATATATAGTTGGTTTTATATCTTAACCAATCTTGATCAAGTGTTCACTCTTTTCGTGGAAACAGTGTACTTGTACGAGGAAAAGGAAGGGGGAAGCACTAGTGAGAATTTCAGTGACATAGTTAAACAATTTGTTGAAAAATCAAATAACAATTGCAGAATAAGATGAAAACACAAGATTGTAGTGTTTAATTGAATGCAAAAATCTTCCGACATTGTGTGATTATTGCCGTCGTTGTAATGCTGTAGAGATTTTGACAATTCACTTCTAAAATTCAATTCTCGCAAGGAGATTAAGATTAGGATCTGATGGGAAGCTAATTGTGGAGTGTGCCAATGAAGACGCCCTATTTGTGGAAGCAAAAGCAAATCGTAACATGGAGCATGTTGACTTCGGAGTTCCTGATGGTCATTCTGCAGCATCCGGAAAGCTTGTCTGTAGATCTCCAGGCCTTGAGAACATACTGGAAAGGCCTCTAATGACAGCACAGGTGCATTTTTTCCTCTCTGTTATTCCACCGCCGCCCCCCCCCCCCCTCGTTTTGTCTGTCTGAATGTGCTAATTAAATACAGTAAAAGTTTTTTTTTTTTTTTGTTTACAGGTTACGAGATTCAAGTGTGGAGGTTTTGCTTTGGGATTGGCAATTAACCTCTGAATGGCTGACGGGATATCAGCAATGGAGTTTATCAAATCATGGGCTGAAACAGCCAGAGGATGCCTTTAACCATCCAATCAGTTCTTGATAGATCAGTTTTGAGTAGACAGCCAAATATCCCTCTCGACCAGCACGCTCGAGCAGAAACCTGCGGTGACATATCAAACATAGCAAACCCATTTCATGGAGAGCAGATTCTTTAATTCAAGTAAGCTTGGAATGCTGAAGAACATGGCAATGGAGGACGGAACCATCAAAAGCTGCTCAAACTTCACAGTGCTTACAGCTTTTGCGTGGCATGCTCGCAGCAAGGCACTGCAGATGAATCCTGACCAAGCAAGTCAACTTGTGTTTATGGTTGATGTTAGATCCAAACTTAATCCACCACTGCCGAAAGGATATTGTGGCAACGGAATTGTCATAAGCAGTTGTCTTTGCACAGCAGGAGCATTGATCGAAAACTCACTTTCTTTCGCAGTGAAACCGGTGCAAAACGGAATTGAATAGAAATGTTGAATGAGGAGTTTATCAGATCATGGATTGATTACTTTGAAGTAATGAGAGCAATGGAAGTTCATTTAGTTTCCCATTTTGTAGTTTCTTCATGGACTAGACTTCCAGTACTTGAATGAGAAGACTTTGGATGGGGAGAGCCGGCACAGTTTGGTTGCACCAACTTGCCTAAAGATTCAGGTTTTTTCCTACCAGATGGAATAGAAAATAAGGGCATTAATTTGATTTTGTATTTGCCAGTTACTGCTGTGAACACCTTCCCGGAGCTAATGCTGGTGTAAGTAACATGGACAATATTAATTATAGGTTATATACGATCAATATTCCTCGGTATAATTTCATCTTCCTCTGGTATTATGGGGCTATATGTTAATGAAAGCGAGTAATCTTAAATAAAAATTTTCTAGCTAGGGAATGTAAATAAATTTGTATATCAAATTATGGATAATGGCAAAATCTTTCTGGTGCTGCAAATCCAAAAAGGGAATTTCAATAACATGATTCATAACTATGATTTATGCAGTTTTTTTTTTTTTTTCGTTAATCACATGACCTTCTATATCAATTATAATTACTTTATATATATATATATATATTCCTGCTCTGACACTTGGGCCGAAACTACTGCTACATCAAATTAAACAACCATGCAAGCCCCATTGTAATTCTATACTCCATAAGTCCATCAGATAAGTACAAAACATTAAAAGGACTCCTTTTTTTTTTTTTTTTAACCGTTACTTTATTTTTTACAAATAATTCAATATTTATTAGACTCCACAATCTAATTTTTGCTAATCCTGTGTGGTTTAATAAAAATCACTGTTTGTGTTCTTTTGTATTATTGAGTTTTATGAGAGCTGAAATAAGAATATGTTAATACTGAGTTGATCATATAGCACTAGCTAAATTTCTCTTTAAGTATCCATCCATGCATAAAATTGACTGTTGGAGGAGTTTTATCTATTGTAACCTGCAATTGATGAAATATTATTACCACTTTTTTTAATGGATCTCGTGTGAAAGCAGTGCCTACCCTCGCAGTTAAACTAGATGAATGTTTCACATTCATATAATCAGAGTAAGAATAACTAAGAAAAAAATAAATTATAAATTAGTCCATCTATTTTTAAAAAATGAATTAATTAGCTCTTTTCGTTTCAAAAATTAAATTTTAAATTGTTAAATCAGTGTTGAATATGCTTAATCTAATATAACTTTATTTCATAAAATCTCATCTTTCTTCATTAATCATTGTATATTTTTCACTTATATTTTTTCTTTTTCTATTTCTTAAAATAAAAAAAACCTAAAGAAATTGAAAAAGGATTAAATTACAAGACAATTTATAAATATATATAAGAACTAAATAACTGGTTTTTGAAAACAAGAAAAACTAATTAATTATTTTCTCAATACTAAAAGTACTAATTTATAATTTACTTCTAAGAAAACCCACATAAAAGGAGTTAGTTTTAAATGGTTCTAATAGGTACGTAAGGTTTTAAAATAGAAAAACCTAATAAATTAGGAAGAATTTTTTTTATATATGTAGTAAATATATACCTCGGAAATATTGCCACATAAATTTGCTGCCAAATATTTCATTCCCCTGCACTTTTCTTTTTAATTTGTCAACTGAATTGCGTTGCATAGTCTCTCGATTTACTGATTGATACAACTTGGTCCTTCCCAACAAAAATATTTACAACTCAGTCCTTTATTTATGGTCAATTGAAAGAGCATTTATTGTGGATGTAAACATATCTATTTTTCTCTATGTTGTCGTAACTTCTATCCATAAAATTTTAAATTCTCAATTCGATATAGTTATGATAAAAGTTTTTCAAAATAAAAATAGAATAATTGGTTCTATAATATTTTATACTATTGGCCAAACGATGAATGAAACCAGATGAAAAAGCTAAGCTGCTATTTTGGATTGATGCGAGATCAAAGTTGAATCCACCACTGCAGAAGGGCTATTTCGGTAATGCGCACTAACGACTGGTTGCCTTTGCTCTGCAGGAGAATTGATTGAGAACCCATTGTCTTATGCAGTGGAGAAAAGGTGCAAAATGCGATTCAAGTAGTCAGTGAGGACTTCATCAATTCATCGATTGGCTATTTTGAAGCGAATAACAGCAACGCCTTCTTTAGATTCCACCTTCTATTTCTCTTCGTGGACAAGACTTTCTATTGAGAATGCAGAGTTCGGATGGGGAGAACCAAATACATCTCGGTATGGCTGCCTTGTTAAAAAAATGTGAGTTTGTTCCATCCTGACGGAAAAGAAAGATCGAATCACGTTGGTTTTGGGAATGCCAGTCACTGCCATGAAGATCTTCCAAGAGTTCATGCAAGTTTAGTCTTAAGTTGCAAGAGTGAGTTAATCATCAATTCATGATATAAATCCCCTGGACATTTCCTACATACATGAAGTAGTGTCTACAAATTCCCTTCACAGACATGAGAACTTCAAACTTGCCACTCATCGTTGATGTACGGATAACAGATAGGAGGGACTGAGGGGCTATAAAATTTCCCCTGTCCTAACTGACCATTATGAGAAATGAATAAACCTGTTAAGAGAAAAGTATCCTTCACCAAGTAATTAAGTACATCTGCAGCATAGAGAGTACTGTTCCAGAAAAAGACTAGCTAGCTTTTTTAAATACATCCAAGTGCCAGCCTCCTCCCACCCCCTTTAATGCATGGCCTTGGACTTGTATTTTGTTTTCTCCCCTTCCTATTCAGCTCTGCAATCAGTGCATCTGTACCTTTGGCTGGCATTGGTTAGCATCAGGCAAAGACAACTCCAACCATCTTTCAAGTCACTTGCATATTTTTCAATCACATAGATCGATGACAGCTTAAGGCCTAAATTGAAATTGTTCAGTTACTAAAAATGCTCTCCTTTCACTATATTTGGAGCCTACTTGTCCATGAATTTGCAGAAGCTCACCTGTTACTTTAGCATACCATGTAATTAAAAGAATAAACTTCCAGAGGCTCAGAAAACCTGTAATGACTCATGAGCGTGTAAAATCAATAAAATATAGCTCTTAGCTATTCATGAGTCATCACCACTAAGATCTCCCCACCGAACGTTATATTTTGCAGCAAGATAATGTGCTCCAACTGGACCTCTGCTGCCATGGGGGTAGAGCTCTGGAACTATCTTCTTCTCTTCAAGTTCCTTTAACATCGGTGTGAATAGTGCCCAAGCAGCATCAAGCTCATCACTTCTAATAAACAACCTTCTCTCTCCTGCCATTGCATCTAAAAGTAGCCTCTCGTATGCATCTGGTATTTCTTTTGCATACCTTCAAATTGAAACAAATAAGCCTTAATACTTTCACCCATCACGCATGAAGCATTATAAGATTTGATGATTGTTCTCTATCAATAAAAGAAAGCACTGAAGTCAAATGGAAAACCAGACTGAACTGATTATGTTTGTTCATCACATAGATTACCTCATATGGTCATTCTAAGATGTTACTTTTAATTGTTTTCTTGATCTTAACATGGTTTTATTTTACTTGCATTTGTAACTGGTTGAGTTTTGGTACTATTTATAATGAAGTAACTCAAACAATGTCTCAGTAATAGTACCTTGCCCGGTAAAGCAAATTAAGATCACTGCGATCTAATCTCATTCCAAGACCAGGAACTTTGTTGTTTATCTTCAGATATATAGCTTCATCAGGCTGTACACGTAGCACAAGCTCGTTTGTAGCCTTGTCTAAATCAGTTCCAAAGTTCCGTTTGTACAAGTTACCTGGGACATGTCTGAACTGCACCCTGATCTCTGCTCTGAAATGTCATAGGATATATCGTGTCATGATTATCACCTATCCATGCAAAATATATGGAGAGAATGAGAAAGAGGGAAGGGAGGAGTGGTGAGGGAAAGAAAAGTTTTACTACCGCCTCGTATGAAGAGCTTTCCCTGCTTTCATAAGAAAAGGAACCCCATCCCATCTGGCATTGTTGATGAATAGGGCTGCAGCTGCAAATGTTGGGGTGAGACTATCCTTTGGCACAGTTGGATCGTCTGTGTATGCTGGGTACGATCTACCACTCTTGCTGTGGCCCTTATATTGGCCAACAGTTACATCTTCAAGTTGCAGTGGCTTCATTGACCTTAAAACTTTTACCTGAATAAGGGACATGTTTAATGAGTCAGTAGATCATTGTCAAATTAACATCCTAACCCAAAAGTTTAAGCTATTGGGTGAGGCTCTAAAAATGGTTTTATATTACTCTCTAACACTCCTCCTCAAGTCTTGAAACTTGCATAGATCCACACTACCTTGTGATTAATTAAAAGAGAAATGGAGGTGGTGAGTTCCAAACTTGCAACCGTTTGGTCATCAAATCTCCGATATCATATTAAAGAACTATCTCAATCCAAAAGCTTAAACTATTGTGAGGCTCCAGGAATAGTTTTATATTACTCTCTAACAATCATAAAAAAAAAAAAAAAAAAACAAAACAAAACTCTCAACTCTGAATACCTTCTCATTCCTGATGTCCTCGCCATCCAAGCTAACAGGTGTCTCCATTGCAAATAGTGCTAGTATTTGCAGAAGATGATTTTGCATTATGTCTCGTATGATGCCATAGTTATCAAAATAGCTGATCACAAGAACAAGCACACCCAAAATTTCATTCTTGAAAGAACTATATTAATTAAGTTAGTTCAATCATGACTACATCAGGTAACATATGTATCTCACCCTCCACGACCTTCTGTACCAAAATCTTCAGAAAATATCAGTTGCACATTGCGGATGTAGGCCCTTGACCATAAAGGCTCGAAAACAAGATTTGAGAAACGAAGCACTGATAGATTCTCAACAAGCTCCTTTCCCAAGTAATGGTCAATCCTAACAAACTTAAAACATAAGCATGCTTCTCTCTCCAATATTATGAATATTTCTTTTGAACAGCAATAACTGAAAAATGAACCTGAATATTTGATCTTCAGTTAGATACTGCTTCAAACATCTGGTTAGCTCTCCAGATGACTCAGAGTCACGACCAAATGGCTTCTCGACAATGACCCTAGTCCACCCATGTGATGAAGAAGCTCTAAGGCTGGCACATCTTACGACATCCACAAATATGTTTGGAGGAACTGACAAGTAAAACAGCCTATTTGATACTTTTCCAGCCTGAAAAGAGCATTTCATTTTTCAAAAGATAGGTACCTAATAATCAACTATCTAACATGCCAAACATATCGTTAAATCAACAGTCATGCCACTGTTATTATATAAAAAAAAATGGAAAACTGAAACTTCAACATAGAACAAGTCCGTCAACCATACAATTCTTAGGGGTTCCCATCAGATTAGAAGCAGTACTAATTTGGATCCTCAAATTGTCTTGTAGACATCTATTCAAATACTAGCAAATTTAAAAGAGTATATGCAATCTTCCTTCTTTAGTTTCAGGGGACATGAAGCTTTGGGTAATTTTTATCCTACCAGCAGGTAGAAATGAAGTCGACTCTCATTTCTTGTTCTACAACCGTACATGTGCAACAACACATCATTTAGCAACTCGAAGTACTTGAGATAAGATGGTTTCTCAGGATGAGAGTTGCAATGAGGAATGGATGGACTCCTTGCAATTCTCATATTGTGCAGTAGGATTTTATATACATGATACTGACATCAATTCACTAACCAAAATAACTAAATAAACTATGTAATAGTTTTGTGCAGCATTTTGCACTAAATGATGATTTTGTTGTCACTGTGTCCCAATCCCCATTGCTGATCATTCAATCTAGTACCAAAGCTTTCGACATCATTCTAAATCCCCTACTTAAATCTATTGGTGGCCTAATGGCCACCAACACTTGCTGTGCTTAATGCAACTGGTGATATGAAAAATACAAGGCACTATAAAATTGAGATCCTGCAAGAACGGCAAAAAAAAAAAAAAAAAAACCTCTTTATCTTTCAGCTTGCTGTCCAATTTTGAGAAATCTTCCTCGGAGTCATACTGCCCCGCATGGTAAAAGCATCTTTTCAAGAACTGATCCATTTTGTCTGCACAATTTTCCCTGAAAGTGTTCCCATGTGTTAACATTTAGATTAAAAAAAAAAAAGAAGAAAAAGAAATTGATAAATAAGGTCTGGCAAGGTGGAAAACCTCTGGTCAATTCTGCAAGTCAATGTCCCGCTAATCATATTCCTGAGCTCCTCATCAGTTAGTTTTGTACGAGCATAACCAAATACTGTAAAGTTCTTCATAAGAAAAATTAAGTGAAAGATAGATTAGAAATTGCTGACCAACATTCTACCATTGCGAATATGAGTAAATAAAATAAAATAAAATAAAATAAAAAAACCTATAAATGCAAAATTTGAAACCTAATAATGCAATGAAAATAGAACCTTGGGAAGCCAATCTTCGTAGAAAAGCGCAAAAAGTGCTGGAAATATCTTCTTTTTTGCAAGGTCCCCTGAAGCTCCAACAACAGTAATGCTGAGAGTAGAGTTTTCTTTCTCTTCTTCTGAGACTGGAATGGACAGCCCCTCTTTATCTTGAGGCTTGAGATGTTCTTTGGCTACAGGACTTCCATCGAAACCTATTCCAAAATCTCTCCTAAGCATCAGAATGAGTGACTGAACAGAAAACAGAAGGAAAATGTAGAATTTAAGGTATAATCAACATGAGCAACATTTTGGAAGGTCATAAGTACATGACCTCTTAACTACCACAAGATAGGAACCACATGCTTTTCAATGCCCATGATTAGATTAAGCTAATTAAGTTTCTCAATGTCAAAAGCTCTTTAAATTTTCATAATCAGTCTTTTCAAACACTTGCACATAAGAAGTTCTGCACGCACACACTTGAAAGGTATTCTTCAGACAACTTCATTGCTATCTTACAAGCCGAACCATCTAACAAGTAACAAGATCATTAAAGGCAGTCATTGCTAAAAACTACTCTCATTTCAGAGTGAACTTAAGGTGGGAAATGTCATCCTAACTTATGCTACTTCGAAGAAAATGTAACTAACAAGCAAACAATAAGACAGGAGAATCAAAGGCAGCTACATTAAGTAGTGGGGGGTCAAGAACTAACCATCATGCCAAGAGACAGCATTCAAAGGATGCCCATTTGAGCATTTGAGATGGAAATGCTTTTGCCCATGGATTCTTGAATGAATCTGAGACAACCATGTGGATTTTCTTGGTAGAGTAACCACCAATCTGTTAAACAGTACTGTTGTCTCATTCTTGAAATGAGAGGATGGAATAAAGGTCGTTGAAGAAGATAAACAAGGACCAAACTGCGTTGCCATTAAAATTCGATTCGGTCCTCAAAGCAAAATGAAGTTTAGATTAAGCAACCAATAATGAGGGATACATTTGGTTTCCATCTGAGTATATCCATTTTCTTTTGCTTATAAATCACCTCTTGGGTTGTTGAAGAAGCCATGACTTACAGCTACTTTTTGAAATATTGATCCTGGATATGAGGCGGAGGATTTTCTTTTCTTAATTATCTATCTAAATTACTAACTGTTGCCCAAGTCTTAAAAGTATCGCCAACTATATAGGTAATTTCAGTTTTATCCCTACATTTTTTTTGTACACCAACTTTTCAGAAATTCTCAAAAAAAACTTCCATCTATATTTTCATTGTACTTTTTTTTTTTTTCCTGGTAAGAAACGACTTATTTTTATAAAGAACTTAATCTTTTTCATTAATTGATTCCAACATAAATTCTTAATTGAGAAATAGAAACAAGTTAGAGATAAAATTGATATAAAAAATAGTTTTGAAGCAAAATTAATATAATCCTAATAATTTAGAAGTGTATTTAAGATTTTTTTTTACCCCTAATTATTTATCAACATGGTTTCTGAACGTTAAAAAAGAGGTTTGGTGATATAAACTAAAAAAAGACAAACTCATATTTCCTTCTCGTTTTTTTCAGGGGAGAAAAAAAAAAAAGAAGAAATAAATTTGCCCTTAAAAATGGATTTACAAACAAACTATGATTCAACCTTTATGTGGTTAGTGTATATAGATAGATAGATAGATCGTTGGGTGCCCAAAAACAATAGTAAAACCATTCGGACAATAAAAAAAAAAAAAAGCTAGTTAATTATAACTCAGTTTCTGTAGTTTAGTAAAAATAAATAATTATTCTTTATGGTTTTTAAAACTATATATTTAATATTCATGTTTTTAAATGTGTTTATAACACCTTTTTGTTTTTTGTTCATTCCATGTTTCTTTTCTATATATATATTTTTAAGTAATAAAAAGAGAAGAGAAGAAAGAAAAGGTAAATAACATGGAAAAATTAATGAAAAAGAAAAGTATTTTTTGAAACAAAATATTATTACATTTATTTAATGAACACTAAAGACTATTTAATAAATTTTTAAAACTATAAAAATTAATTAATTTTTTTGATAAACTACATGAAATAACTGATAATCAACCAAAACAATAGCACAACTTTTGTTTGAATGGCTGATCAGTCCATTATCCTAAAACTCTTGTTTTAGAAAAATTGATTTTATTTATTTATATATAGAAAACAAAGCATTAGTATGGTTGTTAGCATTTAATTGATTATTTTTCCATGAAAATATTGATTACATTTTTTTCCCCTAGATTTCAATCTACATATTATGAAATTACAAAGCATAAATAATGATCCAACTTAAGTCACTTGTTTTTCGTTTATTTATTTATTTATTATTATTATTATTTGGGGTAAGTTAAGGGGCCTAAAGATACAAGAAAACAAAACCCAACAACCCCAGAGTCAGCCCACAAAATTGGGCTAGGGCTACGATTACATAATGGAGGCACCAAGAAGTCACAATGTCTTGCTGTATGACCTTAATACCAACATCTTTAGCTGTTTTTTGCATTTGTTATTATACTGGTAAGCTTAGATGAAAATTAAGATTTTTCACTTTCAGTGCGGTGAAATATTTAAAGCTCAATTGACAGGACCATCATACCTTCAACTGCAACGTAGCAGTAGTAGTAACTTAAATTGTTTTTTTTTTTAAAAAAAAATAATTGTTTTGAACTTCAATGGGTAGTTAAGTGGTTAAGAAATTTAAGTTAAAGAGTCATTACAGCACTATCAGCACCCATAAATATTGAACAAGCTAACTACAAAGAGTGACTCATTAGTAAGACATTTGAACTTCCAACATAAGGTTCCAAGAGAGTGAGGGGTTTGGAATCTTGGTTTTTAAGACTAATCTGTATCCAATGAAAATGATTGAAGGGTGGTTAGTTCTTGAAATGCCAAAAAAATGTTGAACAAGCTACATACCAACTGCATGGACTCGTTTCATCTCATTTTGTCTATCATGTTTTCTTTTGTTGATGTTTCAAAATGTTTGTTTACTTTTTAAATGAAGGTCATTTAAATTTTTTTTTCATTAATGTCATCCCTTAATATTTACTTTGTGTCTTAATTTCGTCTCTCTCGTCTAAATTTTTAGGTAATGATATCAAATCTCGATAAGAGATGCGAGAGAATGCCGACACGTGACAATTTTTTTTTTCAAAATTAGGTAAATAAATTTCGAAACAAAAAACCCAAAATGCTCACATATAAAATTCCAAAATCACCAATTAAGTTTATTTTTTATTTTTAATCAAGGATAGAAAATCTAAGATCTTGTCGTAATTGATAAGTAAAAGAAGTTAGATCTGTAAATCAAAAGGATAAATTGAAACTTTAAAGATTTTGAATTCCATTCAAATATGAAAGGTAATTGTTATTAACCTAAATCCAAACCAATCACGAGTTGTTAAAACTTCACTTCACATTTGATAAAATTTCACTTTCTCCATCCTCACCCTTGGCCGGTTCACGCCGCAACCAATTATCTCTTAACAAAACTCTAAAGTTGTCCATTCTTGCAAGAGTTGCCTCCAAATCTCTCTCCCATGTAATTTTTCTCAACATTACCTCCTTCGTTGAGGTTTTTCTCTAAATAAATGTAAATTTAATGTTAAAAAAAATTATGATCCACATTCTTTTCAACGACTCCTACTACTCTCTTTCACAATCGAGCCCCTCACCATCGTTGTTTGCTTGCTCAAGCCACCGAAAAGAGGTTAGATCATAGCCATCAAATTGATGTGGGTTGTTGATTTTGGAGAAGTGAGACAAGAATAAACTTTTCATTGGTTGTTGTCATAGTTTGAAAATTTTTAGGGTTTAAATTTAAGAACAAAAATGATGTGGTTGTTGATGTAATACCCCCGACCTAGGACTTAAAGTAGGTCAAGAATGCTACCGGTAATATCTCATATTTGAAATGCAATGAATGTGAGACACTAAACCTCATGTCCTCTACCTCAAATAATAAAAAACATACGTGATAGAATTTCATTAAAATTTAGGTCCATCCTCTCTTTAAAATAGAAACCACTCCATGAATTTTTAAAGAAATAATCCCTTTAATAGAGATAAAAATTGTAACTAGAAATCATTTCATATTCTTAAAACCAATTCATTTAATAGAAAACATTTCATTGAAATATCCATATACATTTAGAGAAACCATTCATCAAAACATATTTATATAAAACATATCCAAATATATCAAAATAGTTTCTAGTTAAAACATAAAAAATTACCGCTTCCATATTCATTAAATATATCTATAAATTTAAATCAATTTTCTTTAATATAAATATAATTTTGAATAATTACACTAATTATTAATTAACCATTTTGAACGCTATTAAATATTAAACCATTTCATTGAATCATAAATTTCTCAAAATACTAAATCATTTTATAACTTTCAATATAATGGAAAACTATAAGGTTTTGTTCTTAAAAACCTTGATTAAAACCTTCACCTAAGCTCATTGGAAGCTAATTGTTGCATTAAGCTCTTTGAAAGCTCATTTACATTTCTTAAGTCATAAAACACATTTAATCATTATATTCAATTTAACCATTTAAGTCTCATTAAAACCATTAAACCATTTCAACTGTTCATACTTCACCATCTAATTAACCTTTTATATGTATTAAACCATTGCATTAGAAACTCATTTACTAACTATCAAACACACATTTATTTATTTATTAAAGGTGTCCAATAAGTACCATCAATTTACATGCCAAAATAGATAAACCTAGAACACGCAAACATGTCCATAAACATGAAAGAAAAGAGAGGTTTAGGTCTTCCACACTATACCTACATTTCAAGTACACCTTTCGACAAATTGGACATCTCACAACAATGGCTTTAACTTCAAAACATGTCATCATCTATCACCTTGCTTACCTACATCGCAGGATGAAATGGTGAGCTAGTGCTCGGTAAGTGAAGTCAATGCATGAGATGTAATTAAAAACCTTTCTTTTTGTTCCTTGAAAATCATTTTCCTCTTTCGGGTATCCCTTGTTGAATGTGTATATATTCGACCCTCTTTTAAAACTATCCTTTTATGAACACGAAAACACTAGACACATCTCGTTTATTTTTTCTCTTTGGGTGCACCCTATCAAATGTGTAAATATTCGACCCTCCACCAAATGTGTATATATTCGGCCCCTCTTTGATGTGTCTAGACATTTTTCTCAAAACCATGCATTATGACATTTTCCTTTCTTTTGGAATCATGAGAAAAATCTTTCATGATATGCATATATATGCAATGAAATGCATTTCGTCAACCATTAACATAAAAATATTGAACATATTAAAGATTAACATGAGCATATATAATAATTATATGCGAATATTTAATAATTATACAAATATAAATCAAACAACATGAAATTAAGCATTTAGTCGAAACATAACACAATCAACATGAAATTCTATCTTTGGTCGAAACATATCACAACCATAACCAACAAACATGAATTCTTCACCTAGGTCAAAACCTATCGGTGAATTGATAAATATTCCTACCGAAAATCAAATATTTAAATACTTACCAAACAAACTCAATCCATCATGTAACCTAAAATTATCAACTAACACTCCAAATAATCAATTAATTAATACCCATTAAAACCATAATCAATTGACACCAAAGATCAACCAAAAGTAAATTTCCTCAATTAACAAATATTTAATCAATCAATTCACATGATTCCCGGATCAATTACTCAATTAAACATAAGAATTCATGTCCGAGATAATCTCACAATTAATCAATCACCACTAAAACATCAAAGTAAACCAATCAATTCCAAGAGTGATTTTGGTTGAAACATATCATCTAATATCATCACCAATAAATTCTCAATTAAACCTCAATCAAACCTCTAAACATAATAATTCC